TCCCGTGGTAAGGCTCTTGTGTGATTTCCAAGCGGGATAGGTGACTATATGCCGTGATTTTAGCGCAAATCAAAGTCCGCCAAGCTAATAAAGCAGCAACATTTTGAGCAAGATACCCCTGTGCGTGAAAATATTCTTTCTTTGTGATCTATCTAAGCATGGGAATGCAGCCACCATCCCTCAAGTCAAAGCGCAAGTATGTAGAACCCGAAGGAGATATAGCGCCGGTAACGAAAAAGGTACTTTTATTTCTTGTCATGGAATCGCACATCACTCAGGTTGTCTAGCGAAAAATACAGGCGCCCAAGAACAACACCCCATCTGCTTTACCTCAAATTCATCCCAAAGCTCTTGCAAAACCCGTGTCTAGAAAGAAACCAACCCCCGCCCCTTCTATCGCTCCCCTACACCCTAACTTGCCCCTTGCCAACCTCCCAGATCTCTTTCCTGGTGCATACTGCAAAGAAGCCGTCCCTGAAGACCCTACTCCTGAACTGCTGTCGTTATTCAAGCAAAAACAGGATCTCGTTGCAAAGGAAGGCAAGAATGCTCCAGGTCGCGCTCTCCTCAACGTCCAAATATGCCAAACGATCACTCTGGAAAATCGGTCCGCTCAGCTGTTCAGGGAGGCGCAAGGGCAAGCATGGCCTCTCACCATCGATTTCACCGAACTTCCGAACCGTGTATCAATGCTGCGCGACAGTATCGTGGATCTAGCAACCGACCCCACAGAACTAAGCGCAACCACCATCTGGCAGTTGTTTCTAAAAGATATACAGTACAAAGTGTTCACTTTTACTTGTGCTCCGGTCGGGTCTTTTTCGGCGGCGGCTGAACGTGCGAAGCGTTGTGGATAGTACGCATCCTATTGGCCTTTCTCGGTGACTAAGAACTGATTTTCTGCACAGCTTCGGCCCAAGAGGCGCAGAAATCATGGCGCGGGCTGTGGATCAAATTCTTCTTGAAGACGTCCTTCCCAACCAGATCTGTGAAACAATTCTTTCACTGATAAACACCCCGCACCGCTGGGATGAACCAATAAAGCAGTCCCGGCTCTTCTCTACTCGTAGCTTCGTTCATTATATTCTCGTCCCGTTTGCTGCAGCATGCCTCATCTCCGACGATCTGCAGATAGATTTTGATGCTGCCTTGGTCGTGCAAGCGCACAGCAGCGAATTCGGTGATGCCTTCAATCCTGTCCAGTTTAATAGAAATGTCGCACCTCCTCGAGTTACCGCTCCAGAGACGAAGTCATCACAGGTATCGTTACTGCAAACACTGTATTTTATTACTCACACTCTCGCCAGGTGCCTTCAGCTGGTGACTCGAAGCGTATTGTTACATTGGATGATTTCCCTGGCGTAATTTTTTGTTCTGACCAATTTCCGCTGCTTACATCCTTACAGCCGTCTGTGAAGAAGAAGTCGGATTTGAAGGTATGTATTTGTATCTGCGATATTATTCCGGATTCACTAATGCTATCAAGAAATTGGCCGATTCGACCGGAAAGAAGCCGCTAGCCAGCTCATCCCACACCTACCCTACAAGATATAGACAAGCCAAGCGTTGAGAGTCACTGGTGTGTAATTTTATATCTGCATTTCAGCGCATCCGAGATCCTAACGGCTACATGGCACTCTCAGAAGTGCCCTTCGTGACCTGCTTCTACCTAAATCCTTCTGCTTATAATTGTCGCGCACTTGCTGTAGAACTGTACGGTTGCACCGGATTGCTGTATTCTTAAACCACAACTGAGAAGTTTTTGAACTGACCTCATAACACCACACCGAGTCGTTATAAAAATGCCAGAAAATCAGGAAGCACTTTGATAGCCTCGAAACATCTTATACAGTATTCCCTGGTGGCCAGGAGTCTTGCGGCGCCTTGAAACTAATACGCTGTGAGTACTTTGTTTGTGGATGTTTACTAGTCACGTGTCTCGTGCTCCTTCCTCTTCCCCACCACAGTCGCGTCTGCAGACGATCATCCCCCCCTCATACGGGCTTCCAACGCGCTCCATATCATTTATACGCCCTCCCTCCCCGCCCTACCCACTTTTTGGCTCACGTTTACCCTCAGAAACCCCACCAACGGCGAGATAAAGCTCTCACCAACAAGACCGCGTACGTCGCGCACAGCTCTTTTCCCACCTCTCTAGCACTCAAAACCACCCTCCTTAGGCACCATAAGCTCTCTTAAGATACCCATAATTGGCTCTGGATGGTCGCAGATTCGTTCTGTATTACATGCAGATACTTCGGTGAGTTGCATTGTCTTCCTCCTTGCCATTTGCTGGTGTTGCCCTTCCTCGTCCTCCCTCTTTCTCATCCTCGTCCACTTTGTAGTCCACCCGCGCTTTGCCCTCCCTCGCTTTACCTCCCTCCCCTCCGCCATCTATCGCTCGGCGTCGCTGCTAACCCCGCCCCCAGCTGCATTATGTACAGCCCCGTCCTCAACGGCGTCACGATGCTCATGCTCGAGAGCACGCCCGTGTACCCCACGCCCGCATGCTACTGGGAGCTCGTCGCCGCGCACAAGGCCACGTAGTTCTACAGCCTGTCGACGGCGGTTAGGGTGTTGAGGCGGTGAGTAGCGTGTCCTTTACTTGTGGGCGGTTCTTCGGGGAGGGGAGAGGTGCCCGCGCCGGCGTGGAGAGGTGTCGGCGCCGGCATGGAGTGGAGGCGACGCGGAGGCTTCGGCGCGTGCGTTGGCGTTGCCCGAGAGCGAGCACCGTGCTTACGGGCGATGCTTGCCCGATGGCTTCGTGCGGGGAGGGCACATGCGGCTCCGTCCTGTGCACCGGCTCGAGGATTGATGGCGCGCGTCTTTGGCTCCGTCGACGTGGCGGTTGCGGCCTTTGACGCGCGCGCCGCTCTGCTCCCGGTAGCCGGGGAGTCTCTGCTCCTTGCTGTCCACGGGCACGGGGGCGGTGTCCGCGTCTGCGCGCGTGGCCTTGGCCTTTTTCTCTGCCGCCATGCGTCGGGGAGTTTCTGCTTCTATCTGCTATGCCCTTGAATCCCCCGCTTACCCATCCCTTCCTTTAGACTCAGCGCACACCACGTCGCGCGGCACGACCTCTCCTCGCTGCGCGTGCTCGGCTCCGTCGGCGAGTCGATCAACCCCGAGGCGCGGACTTGGTACAACGAGCATGTGGAAAGGGCATAGTGTGTGGTTGTGGATACGTTTTGGTGCGTGCTGTCTTCTTGTTCTTCCTTCCCTCCTTGCCCGCCGTGCGCTTCGTCCCTCCCTCCCTTCCCCACGTACTTACCATCCTCCTCCACCCGCCTTTCTTCCCTCCCTTCTCCTCATAATTTTAAGACAGCCACTAGCGCCCGTCCCCCGCGCTATCTCCCCCTTCTGCGCGTGTTCTCTCTTTGACTGACATCCCATAGGTCGGCCTATCGCGCTCTCAAAGACTTCTGCGTGGTGCTGATGATCAAGATCAATACCGTGTGAGTACTTCCTGTGTGTTTCTGTCCCTCATCTCCCCCTCCCCCCTCGTTCCTCCGTTCCCTTTCATTCCCTGATTGTCCAATCCTTTACCGCTACCGTTGGAGTTCCCCGTGGATTACGTTATCAGTAATACGCCAGGTGGCTGCCACGCTCTCCATCCTCACCACTTCCTTCGCGTTCCTGCCACCTTAAAAACCTCCCCGCTCCCCTTCTCTGCGCCCTGCTCCCACTCTGTTTCCCACTGCCGGTGCATGAGCACCGCAAGCGCAGCATCGTCGACGAAGTTGTCCCGTCACTCGCTTTTTACCCTTCTCCACCATTTTTTATATCCTACTCACACACGGCATGGTCAGGTCGATCTCCTCTTCTCTCGTGATACTTTTGTTTTTGTCCGCAGGCGCGTTCCTCATCGGTTTCAATGTCATCTTACTCATGTGTGGCGGGCTTAGGTAATTTTCCACGAGTTTCCTTGCCTCCGTGCCGTGGTAAGTCACATCAACACACTCTCAATCACTGTTAGTTGACCCAACCAAATTCATGGCTCAGGTGGGCAACATATCCTCAACGCATTCAACCGCTGGTCCGTACAAGATTTACTTGCAACACCGAAACTAACACTTTGATGGCAGCGGCGAAGAATCACTCAATGGTGCGATGTCCTATTCTTGCTTCGCCGCCGTTGTTCGAACTGCTACCCAGAACTATTCACGAAATTCAAGACTGTTTTCACGAGATCGGTGTTTGCTAGCCAATTCCGGACGTGTACGTAGAGTAGTATTGAATATACCAGTTTTTTTGAACCGCCCCAAGAGTAGTATGTTAGAGTGCTTTGGCCCTACCTCCGAGTACTCTGAAGCGCTCAATTGTAGTGCTTTGACACACTCAATCGCAGTGCTTTGAAGCACTCGATGCTATTGGTCCGAGACACTACGGCAGAGTACTTCGGGTACTCCATATAAGCCGGTTTTTGGCGCATCGGCACTAGCATTGAGTACCTTCAAGCTCTCCATGGGAGTGCTTTTCTCCTGAAAAGCACTATAGCTGAGTGCTCTCGGGGTACTTATATTAAGTTCTTTTGCTTTCTACAGTGATCTGAGATGTAGGTGGTGGTGGAACAACGAGGATGGGAGCAGGCGACGTCATTGATGCGGCGATGGCGAACCGATGCACGTTGCCGACGTCGACTAAGGACTTGCTGAGTTCCTCGACTGGCTCGACGAGCTCGACGCCATCGTGGGCTCGACGGTGCTCGTAGGCCCCAGCAGCTCGTTGGCACATACCCGCCAGATTTCCTTCCGGGTGCACCCGCGCCGCGCCGACACAGGGGAAAGTTCAACCTTGGTTGAATCTCGGAGCTAAATACAACTCAAATAGGAGTATTCAGATATGGTGTAGCGTGAACACAGTCTCTCATTATGCAGGTAATGTGTATTTTGGAGGCAGTTCGGGTTAGAATCCCTGCGTCTGAATAGACCTTGGATGATTTTTTTGTTCTTACATTCCCTCGAACACCCTAATAAAACTGGTTGCATGGAAAAGAAAGCAACTCAGATATGGTGTAACGGGAACACGGCCTCCTATTCCAGCAACACTGACAGAAATTGAGATGCAATCCGGGGTTTGAATCCCCGTGTCTGAATTTGATCGTCGTTGAATGTTTTTTTCCTTTCATTTCTCCTACCTTCGAACAGATTCAAGCTCCAGGCCAAACATTCTCGCTCGCGCCTCGAAATTCGAATACTAATAGATAAGAACCCCGCTCAGGCTCTAAATTCAAAGGTTAACCACCCTGTCAATACTTAAACAAAGTGATAAAGCCACCCGAATGTTGCAGAAAGGAAGTCAGACATGGTGTAGTGGGAACACAGCCTCTTCTTCCGAGTGAGATACCTCCACGTTCCACAGGCAATCCAGGGTTTGAATCCCTATGTCTGAATGTGTTGGACTCAGAAGTGTTTTTCTTTTTCTTTTGTTATTTTCCATTCCTATTGAACACGGTGGTATCACCACCTCGAAGGAGGACAGCTCAGAACAGGGACTCCGCTCACTCGGTGCGTTCAACCAATATCCATTTTTTTGGAAAAACTAATAACAGTCCTACATACATACTTGCACCTCCCTCCGCCCCCGGCTCGCCCGCACCTCGTACCTACCGCACAACGCCACCTAACCTAACCCGACCCATACATCGCGGAATTACCAACGCCCGTTGCTTCGTGCTCATCGCGGCGCATGGATTCGGAGTTGGGAGCGCGGGGGATGCGGAGTCGAGACTCGGACCTGCACTTGCGACCGCGGGGATATGCATCTGGAATCTGGATGGGCGTCTAGTTGAGAAGACCTGGGACCTGATGCGGATTCAAGACGGGCGGTGATGCGCGTGGAGTTGGACTTGCGAGCGCGGAGCATGAGGATTCGAGATGCGAAGGACTTGAGATCGCGAGAACTTGGACCTGAACTTGCGAGCGCGAGCATTCAGATTCGAGACTTGGATTTCGGATATGCTTGTACGGAATTTGGAGCAGTCGGGATTCAGATTCGATCCAGATCCTGAGCTGCGGATGACGCAGCCGCGCGCGGGCGCGACATTGAATTTGCGTGGGCGGTGAGTCGAGCCTTGAATCGAGATGGATGGAGATCCGAAACTTGGAGTTGCGTACGCGGGAATTCGATGTGCGTGAATGGGATCCGAGGGCCTTGGGACTTGGATATGGCGAGAGACAGCGGGCCGATCGACGCGTGTATCGGCACTAGCGGCGAGGGTGCGGTCGCGGCGGTGGCTGGCAGCGCGCATAATTGGGTGGATGGAGGGCAGACAGGGAGGGGAGGGAAGGGAGGGAGGGAGGAGAAGGGGCGTGTGCGGAAAGAGGAGGAAGAGAGGGCGAGGGTGAGGGCGAGGAAGGACAGGAAGGCGAAGGAGATGGAGAGGGTCGGAGAGAAAGAGAGGGGCGGGAGGAAGTGAAGCGGCGGGGTGTGAAGGGAGAGCGCACCAGGATGATTAGGATGTGGAGAGGCGAGGAAGGGGACGCTGCGGGGCGAGGGGGTACGGGCGCGTGGATGCGAGGAGGGGACGTGCGCGTGGATAGTAAGTGGACGCGGGGCGATCGAGCGATGACTCGGACGGGCAAAGACACAGAAGGTGAGAACGAGGTGCGGGAAGGAATGAGGGAGAAAAGGCACTGCAATGCGGGTGGATATGGACGCGTGACGCAGGGATGACGGGGATAGCGACGACGTGGGGTGGAGGCGATGGAGAGGATGGGGGCCATGAGCGTGTCGTGTCGATGGTTAACGACGCGACAAGTGGACGTTGCGCGGTGAAAGACAGTGCAGAACGCTGAAGAAGGAGAGAACGAAAAGAAAAGTGAATGGTGAATGAGAGCCACGGGGGGGCGAGGACGAAGGAATTGGATGGCGCGGGCGATGGTACTCGAGGGCGGACGACGCGACCCATGTCCATCACGGGGTGCGCGCAGATGCCGGTGTCGGTAAGACACGTCGGAGAAGACTGTTGAGGAGGGCTCGAAGGACGCAGAGCCGGAGAGGGCGGGCCGTTTGTGCGCGAGCGGGGTGTCGACAGCATTGAGAGTGGGTGGTTGGTGGTTAGACGATGAGGATGGGAGCGGGTGACATCATTGATGCGGGGATGGTGAGCCGATGCACGTTGCTCGCGACTGGCTCGATGGCGACGGGGGTGAGCGCGACGCCGTTGTGGACTCGACGTGGACTCGCAAGCCTGGCTGAGTAGTTCGGCTCGGCTGACACCAGCCTTATACATACCCGTCAAATTTGCTTCCGGACCCGCCCCCGCCGACGGGAGCAAATTTAATCTAATTTAGACACAGATCTCAGGACTAATAAAGGTTGTTCAATAGAGGAAGAGGAGATTAAGACATGGTGTAGTCGGAAACATGGCCGCTCATTGGTGAATGTGATTATCCTTACAAGGATTAGAAGGCAGTCCAGGGTTCGAATCCCTGTGTCTGAATGAAATGTGTCCGTGGGTTTTTTATTTGCGCTCCTTGAACTGACCAACAAGTTACAAAATTGCCCGGATGGAGCAAAGGATCTTAGACGTGGAGTAATGGGAACATAGTGTCTTGTTATCGCAGTTTATCGAGAGATTCAGGGGCAATGCGGGGTTCGAATCCTTGTGTCTGAGTTCATATGCATGATATATTTTTCTTTCTTCCTCCATTCCCCTTGAACGACCTGATAAACCTAACCTGATGTGGAGAAAAGGAAATCAGACATGGTGTAAATGGAATACGGCCTCTTCGCTTAATTATTGGGAGCAAGATTCAGAGGCAGTCCAGGGTTTAAATCCTTGTGTCTGGGTTCATGGTCTTCATGACTTTTATTATTATTATTATTTGCACTCATCCCACTTCCTCCTCGGTGAAATCCAAACCCCCTCTACCCCCGCGCCGATATTGGTATACTCAACCTGATGGAGTTGTTATTCAATCAAGTACATACGTGATATTTCATCCTTCGTTCCTTCCGGCAAAACAGATTTAGCTCTGTTCAGAACAGCAGCAGTCCTCGAAAATCGACCCCGCCGTCGCTCTTGGTCTATTCCCTCATTATTCATTCCGGGGTCGACGCAAGGCAGAACTGAATTTGAACCACAGTTACAATAGACTTTACATTCCCCGCTTCTTCCTTGCCCATATTCCATTCTCTGTCCTCGCTCATCGTCTCGTCTCTTCCACCTCCCACCCTCGCGCCCCAGTTCCTACACCAGAGCCAAGTCTAACTTGGAGTCGACTCGAGGAGCGGTTGAACACAGATCACGTGCATGGTTGGAATTTACTCCGACCGCATCCGGCCTGTGCTCTGGCTGCGCCCCGGCGAGCAGTATCCCAGGTGGGCTTGAATACACACCCCCTCATCCATGATTACAGCTCAACTCGTCCAGGGTTCTGTTTGGCTGGAGCACTAGATTAGATTAGTGTAGCTCCGCGAGGTGCAGGCATCATCGCGCCTTGCGTTCCTGAGGTTTCTAGGCAGCTCCCAGCGTCCGGTCCCAAGTTTCGGGCGACCGCCCCAGCCCATGATAACATAGACCCATCGAGCTCATCGATATTTCAGAGGCAGCCGTGAATCAGTGATCAAGGGCTGCGGTAGGCTGCGGTCCTTCTTCCTGATTTCGGTAGACTGCCTACAGACCAATGGAGCTCGCCAGTGTCCCAGTGGCTGCGATTAAGCCTGGGCCCCCGCTGAGGGGAAATTCATGGGCCGTCCAAGACCGGCTCGAATCAGGCAGGTCGAAAGGTCGATATTCACCTTATTTACATGTTCTATTGAACGTCTCGGGATGCCGTAACGGTCTTCTCTATTCGATGGTCTTGCACTGTAATTTGAAACTTTCTCATGTCTATCGGCCAGCGATGGGCCCTTACCATAATAGTAGGGTAAGCATCGCATGGCTGGTTTGATACTGCGGCATTTTTAGTCTTTTTAGCAGCTTGTTCAACTTGATTGCAAGGATGATGGGCTGTCGGATTCTCACATTTAGGCGCACGTTGCCACTTAAAGGGCTGCGCCTGCCTCAGTTCCGGTTGCGTTCGTTGTTCCTGACTACCAAGAACGATGAAGGTTATCTCCAGTGCCCTATTCGCGCTGACTCTTTCCCTTGTCTCCGCCAATCCTGGGGGCGATGATATCCGCCGGGGCGACGAGCAGCCGTTCGTTCACGTTCCTTTCGCCCATGTCGACGACTACGCCTCCGGGAGGGTGCACATGATGATGATGGACCTCATGACTTCCGTCGTCGATGACATGCGCGCGGACGTTGTGAGCGCGACCGGAATATTCGACCAGACGCTTGGGATCAAGCCTATCGCGGAGTTCACCCCTTGCATCGACGGCTACGCCGGTACGAAGGCCAACGGCACGTACATGTGCAACAACCTCGATCTGTACTCCTTCACGCCGCACGCGGACATGGGGAGCACTGCGAAAGTCGGGAATGATATCTGGGGCTGGGCACACACCAGCGACGGGGTGACGAGGGAATTCGGCTTGGTTGGCCAAATGGATGGGACTAAATTCGTGGAGGTGAGTCAGAATACCGTCAATTCAATTATTCGGCGCTAGAGTGTGGCTAGGTTCTTGCCAGCGGGCAGATTGCGTATCTGGGGCGTTTGCCGACGCAGACTGTCAACAGCATCTGGAGGGACATAAAAGTCATCGGACACCATGCTTACATCGGAAGCGAAGCTCCGGGACACGGTATCCAAGTGTTCGATTTACTGAAGGTGTGCTTGCGGTCCTTTAGCTACGTCGGGTAGGATTGATAATTATTTTATTTAGCTTCTTGACAATGTCTTAATCGGGAGCCCGAAGGAATTTAGCATTGAAACGGACCTCACCTCGCATTATGACGGGGTTCCTGGAGGATCCAGCCACAACATCGTCTCCCATGCAGATAAGAATCTTATCGTCGCTGTCGGCGCAAAGCCGCGTCTTCAGTACGTCGTCAGCTGCATTCTGTCCGACCTATGAATAACACGCCTCCCTGAAACGTCGGCGGTGCAGGCTTTGGAAAGGAACTTGGGACATGGTGTAGCGGGAACATAGCCTCCTATTCTGGGGATTTGGATAGAGATTGAGAGGCAGTCCAGGGTTTGATCCCCTGTGTCTGAACTCGGATGAAAAAGTCCTTTTTTGTCTTGTGTTATTTCATTTTCTCACCTGCCAGTGGCACCCCGCGCGGGACTTACGGTCGAACGCGCTGCTAAGGGCTGAATATCCAGTGTTCACAGCACGAAGAAAGAACGAGAACCCCGCTCTGTCTACAATCATTCAAACACTAATATGTACTCAAACGAGCTCATAAAGCCACCTGGATCTAGTGAGAATTAAGTCAGACGTGGTGTGGTGGGAACACGGCCTCTTAGTGTTGTGGGGGATTGAGAGGCAGTCCAGGGTTCGATTCCTTGTGTCTGAGTGTAGAGCTTTTGGTCACTTGGTTTTTTTTTCCTTTTCCTTTTCCTTTCTCTCGCCTCCGAAATCGAAGCTTGAGACCAAGTCGAACATTCCCGCTCGCGCCTCGAAATTCGAATATCTAAAAAACAAGAACCCCGTTCAGGCTCTAGTACCAAACCCTGCTAATACTCAAACAAGCTGATAAAACCCCTCGAATGTGCTGATAAGCAACTCGGACATGGTGTAGCAGGAACACGGCCTCTTCTCATATTGGAGATCTTCCTCCGTTCCGAAGGCAGTCTAGGGTTTGAATCCCTGTGTCTGAGTACGGGGCTAAGGTCATTTTTTTCTTTGTATTTTTCCTTTGTTATTTTTCATTCCTACTCATCGCACGCGGCGGTATTACCCCACCTCGATCACGAAGAAAGACTGCTCAGAACAGGAACCCCGCTCGGAACTCACTCGGTGCATTCAACCAATATCCATTTTTTTTTGAAAAAACTAATAACAGGCGATGCACTTGCACCTTACGACACCTCGCGCCTCCCTCCGCCGCCAGCTCGCCTCGCCCGCACCTCTCCCTCCCTACCTCGCACCTACCGCCCGCCCGACGCACACATCCCGGAATCACAAAACAGAACCTCCGCTCGCCCTCGTTCGCGTTCGTGCTCTCGGAGGTGAGGCCGGGTCTTGGGTTTGCGAGCGCGGCGATTTGAAAAGGACGGGGACGAAGTTGCGAGCGCGTGGACTCGGACCTGCACTTGCGACCGCGGGGATATGCATCTGGTATCTGGATGCGCGCCGATTTGAGAACGGCTGGGCCCTGATGCGGAGTCAAGACGGGACGTGATGCGGAGTTGCGAGACGCGCGGAGTCGAGATGCACTAGATTTGAGATCACAAGGATTTAGACATGAATGTGCATTTGCGAGCGCGGGCATTCAGATTCGAGACTTGGATTTCGGATATGCTTGTACGGCGACTTCCCGATAAGGTAGGTTAAACCAGTGCGGTTCACAATCATTAACCATTTGAACTGGTTAAACCATCCTGTTAAACCGTGCTTTCTGCTCGTCCTGGTACTCATTGGCAGCCACACCTCGCCATGGTTAAACGAGGCCATTTAACCGACCATTTAACCAGGTTTAAACACTCTAACCCAACTTGTCGTCATGATCATTTAACCAAAGATTTATCCTGGATTACATGATTAACGACGAAATCCATGTCCTAAATTATATTTTTTGCGCTATTGTCTGCTTAGTTCTCACCCCGTGCGAGTGCAAGGAGTACAGCTTCTGCTCGCTTGTCCCTCGGTGCTAAATCACTGTCAGTCTATGGTAACGATGATTAGATAGTGAACTGACCGATCCCAGCCTCCCTAATCAATGCATCATTCCTATCGCGCTCCTTCTCCAAGTAAGCAACAAGGGCGGGAAAGTCAAAGCCCGGCTCAAGCGCAAATTGATAGCCAGCCATCTTGAGGTGCTTCCGGCACTGGTCTCCCAACGTCATCCACATGTAGGCGGTTTCTTTGGCTTGTTCCTGGGAACCTGGCTGTTCGTTCGCACTCATTTTCGTCCACACTTGTGCATTGAAGTCAAAGAAGGCAATGCAGCGAAGGAACTCGGCAATCTTGATCTCTAATTGTTCTTGGAATCGATCCATTTCTGCCTCTGCTCTCGCCCACTGGACTCGATCGCCTAGATGACGTCAAGACAGAACTAAGGAAATAATGAACAATCCCACCTTCACGCTCCCATTGCTGCATTTCAATATAAGTCATATTACTAGGGCGTCTCAGCTCCCAGGGTCTAGTGATTTACATATATATTAAGTTATGGAACTCATGCGAGAGACTTTTAGGAACCAACGCGACTTCGAAGCCAATATCGGGGGAACCCTCCAGGATTTGTGTACAAATGGCGCCCTCGGGCCAGCGGAGATGGTGCTGCTTGCATCCTTTCGAACTCCTAGCGGGGAGCTGGCCACCTTCGTGTATGTCTTTTCTCATTTCTCAAGCGCAATGCTGAGTTGATTTATACAGGGTTCACGGGCACTCTGACGAGAATCAACGTTCCTTCACCGATTTTGCTCCAGGTTTCTCGGCTGTTCGATCCCAATGGGATGCCTTTTCTGCGCAAGTTTTGCCAAGTACGGATCTCTCCCTCCCGTGCTCCATCATACTTATGTCGTTTGCAGGACGCTCCCTTAAAGATCGTGAAGATTGGGATACGATTCCAACAAATGCCACCGGGGTCCCTGTCTTCCCTGCAGTCGACTTCGAAGAAACAACACGTTCCGGGCTTATTCAGATCATTGATTTATTCCTCCGTGTTTCTTGGGGTGCGTTCTGACCTTGACTTTGTTGCCTCAGCCGTTAACCATCATGCAGATCACAGTTTGGCCATCCGACGACGTGTACGACAGTCTACCATACGAAGAGCTCGCAAAACGACCGGATGATTTCTACGACACCCAGCTCTTTCCACTCCGCCCCACACTTGGGAGTCCATTCCAAGAAATGTCGCTCTCAGAAATCAGTGGCATCGTGGAAGACCTCATTATAATATGTGCCACCGACATCCCGTTCGTCTTTCGAGACAGGCAAACCATTCTCGCCCGCCAAGCAGCAAGGTCGTCTGGGGCCCCACGCCCCGAGGACGAACAGGGGGGCAACGGTTGTTTTGGTGCACCACCGCCACCGCCTCCGTCGTCTCCTCCCCAGCGCACCGAGAACGGCAATTCTGGCACCCCGCCGCCCCGGCCGCCTTCCCCCCGCATTTTGAGTATGACCAGAGTGGCAACGGCGGTTATGGTACCCCACCGCCGCCGCCGCCGCCGCTGCCGCCTCCTCCGCGTCCTGAAGACGAGCAGGGTGAGAATGACGCACCGCCCCCACCTCCGCCTCCGCCTCCGCCTCCGCCCCCGCGTCCTGAGGACGAGAAGGGCGACAATGACGCGCCTCCATCGCCCCCACGCCCCGAGGAGGGGGGCCCCAAAGGCAAGAAGGGGCGCAGAAAGCGACGGGCGGAGCAGCAGCTTGTGCCGGAGCAAGATGCGGAAAAAATCAATGTGCAGCGCCCTTCAAGACCACGCAAGACACCTGCAGTGAGTTTTGATTCAGCCTACAACTCGCTCCATTCTCAATATTCTTTCCCTCCAGCAAGCTGCCGAGGAACGTCAAAAGATTGCTAATGCTGCAGCTAATCGTCCAAAAGCCAAACCTAGGTACGTTCCTACTTGTAGATTCTCCCGTGTCGGTAACCCAATTCTTGGTTCCAGCTACTCGTACGTCCCAAAGAGTCCTGTCAAACCACAAGCGAAGCCCACCAAACGGTATGTATATTTTTCCTTTTTCTAACCGGGTGCTCAGTCGCACTTCAGGGCCAAAACGACGGATTAACGGGGGCGTTGAACCCCTGTGTTAAACTCCGTTTCAACGGTTAAACGGCCGTTTAATTTGGATGGACGGTTGGACGGTTGGATCAGTCTGTACTACGGTTTAATGGATTATCTGGGTTGGTTTAACCAGTTGGTTTAACGAGTTGGTTTAACGTCTCTACTTTGGTTCAGTTAAATAGTGCTAAAATAATTTACTGATGTGGATTCCGATGGAAAGCCTGCCAATCAGCAGTTAAACCGAAAGGTTTAACCGGTTTCAATGGTTAATGGTTCACAACCCCCGAGGTTAAACCTGACCCATCTGAGTTACTTGTACGGAAGTTGGAGAAGTCGGGATCAGATTCGACCCGGAGCTGCGGACGACGCAGCCGCGCGCGGGCGCGAGCCTCGAGTTTGCGCGGGCGGTGAGTCGAGCCTTGAATCGAGATAGGCGGGGATTCGAAACTTGGAGCTGTGAACGCGAGGATTCGATGTGCGTGAATAGGATTCGAGGGCCCTGGACTTCGATATGGGGATGGGGATGGAGAGACAGCGGGCGGATACGACGCGCGCGCACTAGCGCCGAGGGACGGGAAGGGCCGCTTGGGCGAGGCCGCGTGAGCGGGGTGTCGACAGAATCGAGAGTAGGTGAGTAGGGTGGTGGAACGAGTTGGTGTGACGATGAGGATGGGAGCGGGTGACGTCGTCAATGCGGGATGGTAGCTCGGAACGCGGTCCGCCGGTCCGTCGTGGACTTGAGCCTCAGCAGAGCTCAACAGAGCTCAGCAGCTGGCAACCCCGCCATTCCAAGAGGTATCAAGTATCGGTCGGATGACCCATTGATTCGGCTGACTTCAGACGGAAAACCCTGGGCAATTTGGAGAGGTCTTGGGCCAAAATCTGTCCTCTGGAATGTCGTTCACGTCTTTAATTTGCCTTCAAAGTTCAATTGTTCATGCGTCGAATGGGATGGTTGATGCACCTTGAAGATATGGAGAAACGGCAGCCACTCACGGTTCAGTATCGGGGCACGAAACATGGCCCCTGAGCTTCCGTCAGCCCCCCCGGCTCTGGAGACTCAGAGTATAGAATCGTGGATATGTTGCTGCAGGGTGGACTGAATCTGTATTGCGATACGACACCGCTGGGTCAGGAGAGAATGACGCGGCTTGACGCGGACTGATGCGGCATTGACGCGAAAATCCCTAAGCCTTAGTAACTAAGCCTGACTAAGCCCAATAACCAACTTCGGATTGCATTAAACTCCCGTTCTACAGTACATTTCAGAGTCTACTGATGACCTACAGGTTCTAAACCCTAAATTTAAGGTTGCAGGTCTGATATTTTGGTAAATCTCGTAAGAAAGTCGACTTCAACCTCCCTCATAGCACGGGAGACTAGGTTCAACATCAAACTGAGTTTTACCGTTCTTTGCTGACCATTCATAAGTAAACTTTCAACAATTGAGGTTCCCCTCGATGCGCGGCAATGCCGCGTCAGTTTGTGTCAGCGTCGCGTCAGTGCCGCGTCAGTGCGCGTCAATGCCGCATCAACGCCGCGTCGCTGCGCGTCAACACGTGTCAGTGCTGCATCAGTTGCACGCTTCTGTAACCTCAAATGGCTGCATTATTTCACGCTA